AATAATAATAATAATACCAAACACAGTCAATCAAAATTATAAAAACATAATAATGTGCCATCAAGTCAATTCAGACTGATAGCAAACCTTTCCAAGGTTTTGAAGCTAGTGAGTACCTAGAAGTGGTTTACCATTCCCTTTTTCCAGGGGCACCCTGGGATTATGCAGCTGGCCCAAGGCCACACAGGCTGGCTTTTCTGCGGTGCCCAGTGTGGAATTGAACTCCCAACCTCTGGCTCCACAGCCAGAGACCTAACTCACTGAGCTATCCAGCCAGCTATGGAACTGGTAAAACCATAGTTTAAATATCTCCATTGCCTTTAAAGCCCTATTGTTATGTGCCTTCACGTCTGATAGCAACCCCTATGCAAACCATGAGTTCCCATAGGACTCTAGATAGGTCTAGATCCGTTGACAGGTCTCTGTGTGCTTTGCACCCAGGAAGGACATCTAATTCCCAATCTGTTCACAATCATAGTAGTCAGAAAATGGTACTCGTTGCTTTAGAATGATACTGCTGATCACAAAGAAGGCTTAGCAATAATTAGAAGCGGGCCTCCGCTTGAAAGGACTGTGAACAAATTCAGAGGCTCTGAATCACTGTGTTCTCAATGTGTTTCCTTGTCAGGAGGCTCTAATTAATGGGCCATGGTGCTGTTTTGGAGGTGGGGGGGGATCAGATCCTGCAAGTGTAAGGTTTGCCCACCTTTGGTTAACAAAGGAACAGCAAAGCATCAGCCAAGGACAGAAGAAGACTAATAGCTTTCCCTCCCAGGATATTTGCTCCAGTCTTTGATCATTTGGGGAACAGGCAAGAAATGGGTTGTTGGCTGGCCAAAAGGGAAATGGAGACAAGGCTCCTGTACCACTTAAAGTTGTATGGAGGAGGAAATATCAACAGCAATCTACGAGCACCATCCGTTGAATTCCATCTGGCCACTTTGATTACTAGAATATCCAGGTGTTGCAAATCTGCAGGAAAGGGGAAAACTCCATGGGATGCTACTTTTCAGTCACAGGGCTTGGACTGAGAGGTGATAAAATCCCAATTTTGCTGTGGAACACGGAGCTCCGTGATCATATGCTCTGCTTACAGAGAGGTAAGTCTACAGAGACCCTGGGGATTACTCTCAAGGTACACAGGCCTGGGATTTTCCTGGATTGTTGGGAGGTTAAACTCCTCTCTTCCTGCTTCTATAACAAAAAAACCAAGTGGTCACTAGAAGAAAGTTATTTTTTGACCTGTTAGGACGGCCCGCCTAAGTGCTGTCATGGGAAAGTACAAGACTGCAGTGTGGACCGTTTTTGCCAGATTCTTTGCAGGTTCTTTAAAGTTTGGAACTCTGTGCTGTCCCTATTGCTCTCTGGCCATAGCGGTCAACACCATCGCTTGGGTGTGCCATCAGCACCGCACCCTGCCAGATTCCCCATCTTTGTTTTTAACAGGAGTCTGATGAAAAAAAATGGGAGCTGGTGAACTTGGTGGCTAAAGAAAAATGGCAGGGAAGCATTTTACATGTTGAATCTGTGAGCTGTACTGTGTAGACAAGTTGAAGATCGGATCAGGAAAACAGTTTTTGAAGTTACAGTTGTATCAGAGGGAAAATCAGTCCACCATCTCACTGGGACCTTTCTGAAGATCCCGCTTTTATTTTACCTGCTCTGATTCTAGCAAAATATCTCAGTGATACCCTACTGTGTTATGTGCTATTGTCATTTCTTATTTATGGCGGACCTATAAATTAGTGACCTGCAAAAACCCTGGTGTTGACAGCTCAGGTCTTGCAAACTCAAGGCTGTGGTTTCCTCTATGATTGAGTCAATCCAACTCTTTCCTCTTTCCTACTGCCTCCCACTTTTCCCAGCATTATTGTCTTTCCTATGCCTCTTGTCTTCTCCTTACAGCCTCTGTTTCATCTTTGCTCCTTGCTTCTAGAGAGACTCATTTTAAAGAACAACAAAAAAAGGATGTGTGTCTGATGGGATGGCAACTTCCCTAAAGGCATTCTTCCATTAATGTGGCCACACAAAAAAAAGTTCCTGTATCTTTAATCCTTACACCAAAAAAGGAAATTGCAGCAGGTGGACCTTGTATAACAAGCTACACCTGCTGAAATTCCTGCTTCCACCAGCATTAAAAGGACAGGGTGCTCTTTCTCAGCCGGTTACCCTATTCTTGACCTTAGGATGTGGCTAAGGTGGAGATAATTCAAGGGGCTGAACTGCTCCATGGTTTAGGTCTCTGGCTACAGAGCGAGAGGTTGGGAGTTTGATCCCCCCACAGCGCCTCCTTGACAGGAGCAGGACTTAGGGTCCCTTCCAGCTCTGTAGTGCCAAGATGATGATGACGATGAGGCTCCTTGGGCATGGAACGAGGGTTAGCTTCCTAGGAAAAAGTTTTCCATCCTGGCTTCATCTCCACGCTGACCTGACCTGGCCAACTTCTGCAGGTCAGGGGGCTAAAGTCACATGAAGACCAAGCTGGGGGTGAAGGAGGCTCCACCATCACCCCCACTTCGCGCTGCTCCGCCCTCTCACCCCAACTCACCTGAAACCCCCCCTCTCCCCCCCCGCCCCAGGTGAGCCCCCCAGCACCACCTTGCCGCCGTCTCTCTAGCGCCACCTACCGCCGGCCCCTCGCCTCTTCGCCCGCAACCCACGTGTACCGCTTCTCCTTTTACAACCTCGCTATTTACCCGAGTGTGTTAATTCCCACGACCAATCAGCGGTCTGGAGGAGTAGCTCGGGGAGGTTAAGCTCCAATCAGCACCTGCGCTTGCAGAAGGGAGGAGATGCTCCAGAAGGGGGGGAGAAAGAGATTTTTTTTCTCCCCCTCTTCCTTTTTTTGCTTCTTTCTCTCTCTTTCCCCCCTCCCCTTTCCTCCTTTTTTCCCCCCCTGTAAACCACGTTGAGTTTGTCTGTTGCGCTAATTAATTTTTCCCAAAGCCTGGGAGGGCTCCGCCGAGCGTCCGGGATCCCGCGGCTCCGGCTTCCACCGACGGCGGCTCGTCCTCCGCCTCTCCTCCTTGCGCCGCACCGTCCGCTTTCTGGGGGCCCCCTTCGCCGGCCATAAAATGTTTGACGGCTCCTTCCTGCCTCTTATATCCCCTCTTCTGCTCCTGATCCTCCTTTGCGGACCGGGCATGCCTACAGGTAGGATCGGAGACGCCGGCACTCCTTTTGGGGGACCGGACCCCTTGAAAGTGCCGGATCCGTCCATGTTGCATGCATGATGCAAAAAAAGAAGAAGAAAAAAAGCCATACCAAAAGATTCTCCCCAATCAGGTCATTATTTTTCCTGGAAAAGGATCCTCCGTGCGCCTCTCTCTCTCTTTCTTTTCCTTGGTAACCAAAGTTTGTAAATTGCCTATAACTTCCTCCCGGTTTTCCCTTTTTTTTTTCGTTGTATGGGCTGCGATCCCAGTTTTTTCTTATCCAAAAAGGATGTCTCTCTCTCTGTTCCAGACTTGCCTATCCTTAATTCCAGGCTGGTCGTGCTGTAAAGTTACAGGGGAGGAAAAAAAAGAAAAAAGAACTGCTCGCGTTAACGCTGTAGCTCCCATTTTTCTGGACTGATCGTCTTGCTTGGCCGGTCGGTGCAAGGCGCTGCTCCGCTTAGGTCGCTCGCTCTGCGTGTGTGCGTGTGCGTGCAATGAAACACCTAAAATGTTTTCTTGCATGATGCAAGAAACGTCCTTTCCTCTTGGCTGCCTTGGTTGGTTTGGCTGCCTGCAAAGTTGTAGCTACAGTACTCAACCGGGACCTGAGTGCGGGTCCGGGTCTCTCCTCCTCTCCTGCCTTCAAGCCTGCAAAAAGCGTTACAGGGCATTTTGATCTGGTGTGTGGGGGGGGCTTGCTCAGGGCAGGAGAAGGTTGATCTGATTCTGAAGGGCAGCCTTGCTTTGCTGGGTGCCCTCCAGGTACCAAGATGCTCGGCTCCAGTGGGTCTGCTTTGGGGCAGATGCAGGTTGCAGCCTAACGCATCAGGAGGGCACCGGCTTGGCCGGAAGAAAAGGGCCGAACCTCACAATTTGCGAATGATTCCCCTTGTTCTTGGTGTTCTTGAACTGCTGATTGAGTTACACCAAAGAGGTCAGATATTAGTGACCAGCTTGTGAATGACAAGTTTTGTTCCTTGTGCTAACTCAATAGAACCTCCTTCTTCAAAGGCAGTATATCTTTTACGTGGCACGAAACATACACACCCACCCACGCAGGGAAGGCTTGTGAGAGACTCAAGGTTGGTAACTCTTAACCTGATGAAGGGCAGCACATGAATGCGACTGGGAAATTGCACATGCCGAGAGGGAACACATAGATCAGAATAATGTGTTGTTTTTGTTAATTTCATTTTTTAAAAGTCCATTCAAAACTAGGGTGCTTCCTTAATCACTTATGGATAGATGCCTTTCCCAAAGCAGGCAAAGCAAAGCAACAACAGGAACATGCTTGATTGGAGCCATGTGTAAAGAACTCCTAGTTTAACTGGTACTGGAGCAACCGATATGAGAGGCAAGCCAATTTTGTTAGCGCTCAGATCCTATCTGGAATCAGGCTGCGGATTTCCACTCAAATTCAGTAAATCCATAGGACGCCCATAAATGTTCATTTATCTTTCAGCAACCGGTTCAGGGAGTTTCCTTTAGCTGAGGAGACCAACAGCCGGCTCTCTGCCTCTAGGAAGTTGGAAAAGTTACAATGGCCAGATCTACCCATAAGTTATGTCTATTGGCCACGCTGGTTGTTGCAGCCTGGGAGTCGTAGTCCATAAAAGCAACTGAGCAACAAGGGCCCGAATTCAACAGGTTTTCTTCGCTGCCCTCCTGAACAGCTGGCATTCCAGGACATGTTTTGGTGACTTTACTTGTTTCATGACCAAGACGGAATAGCTTCAGTTCCTGTAGGGAATTTTTGAATGATCTGAAATCATTCTGGCCTGCTTTTTTTAAAAAGATCTGATCCACCCTGGAAATGAAGCCAGTTGTGATGTGGAATATTTTAAAAATTAATTCTGTCCAAATCTGCGGTGGTACCTGATGGCTCCAGATATTGCATTTGGGTATATACGTTAGTTGCAAAGTTTTCAAAGTCCACCCACCCATGTTGCTGGATCAGTTCCATGTCAACCCATGAGGAGGAAGTCTTTTGCAAAGCTAACGGCTCTGAATTGCCCCTTCAAGTATACTGCCCCAAAGTATATTATCATGCAGCAGGAAGAGGTTGCAACAAGGTACTGTTCCTGGGGAAAGTGATTCAGTCTCTTGGTGAAAAGGAAGAATGGAGGGGCAGAAAACCCCAATAGTACCTCTTTGATGTTCGAGGGTCAAATAACGCCTGTCGCTCATTTCCCTTGATCGTTGTGGCTGAATATATGAATGGCTTCACTTTCAAGGAGCTCCCTTTACAGCGATGTTGGGTGATATGAGAATTTCTCATTATATTAGATCTATAACGGTACGATCACAGCGGGATGCGATCGCATGGGGCCGCTCTCTTCAAGCGGTGGACGTCTCTTGTGTCAACTGGCCTTTCCAGAGCCTAGCTGCCCATAATTTTGCAGCACGGCAGGGCGACACCTTTCTCTTCCTGAGCTCCGCGGGATTGGAGGTTTCATCAGGATTTCGTCTGTGCGGTCAGCTTTTAGCGCTTGGTGTTGACGCGTGTGCTCTGTACACAGAAGATCCCAGACCCAATCCTGAGTCTCTTTAGCTCAAAGAGGACGAGGTAGCAGTGATTTTCTCATGAACCCGATCTTCTCATGCAATGTCCAAAGTGTGATAAACTCAATTTTGATCTTCTCATGCAATGTCCAAGTGTGATAAACTCATTTTAGTTATTCCAGCCTCTATTAAGAGTTCAGCCTTCACTGCCGGAGACTCTGGACAGGTGGTGCTGATCGAAGGAAACAATCCTGAGCAAACGGCCCGATCAGTTTTAAGCTGTTTTCCTATGTTCCTTTCTTATTTCCTATGTTCTTTTCTTATTTCCTGTGTTCCTGATTTCCTATGTTTCTTTCTTGGGGGAAAATGAGCTGTGTGGACTTGAACCCCCAGAATTTCTCTCTGGCCACACTGGCTGGGGCGAGAATTGGAAGTTGTAGTTCCAGCTGTGCATTTCCAAGACACTTCTTGCAGGCTTCTGAATGCACGCAAAGGGTTTTGTTTTGTTATTGAGACAGTATCCACCCCTGTCTCATACCTCTGGGAAGAAGGGTGGAAAGAGATAATTACCATAGTATATGAATTCTAGAGACCCTCTCTCTAGCAAAATGATGGTGCATGTCCTACTTACTGCACAGAAAGAACACTGTAATTCTGAAGGGAAAAGAGATCCGTGCATAACTCATGGCCTTTAAATAGAAAGCTTCTGATGCTGCATCTGGGTCACTATTTTGGAGGGTGTCGAAAAGTTGCTTTTTAGACAGTAATTCTCAGAACATCACAGACTGTGGATTCTGGGAATTAGAGTCCAAATAAGTTGACTTTCAAAGCTCTGACATTTCCATCTTCTGGCTAGGGACTTTTCAAGACGGCCCAAAGGTGCCCACATGGCTATGTGGATTTCACTCTATGTATGTTGAGAGGCGCTCTGTTCTCAGTAATTCCAGACTTATTTTTCTGGCCCTGCCAAACAGTTTCAGGGCTGCTGAGCTGTAGTTCAGACGGAGACCTGAGTATTAATGAGGCAAGCAAGCAAGGTGGACAGTTGGGTAATTATGATGTGGTTGCTTGTTCCATCTCCTGTAACGGATTGTCAGATTGCTTCAGATGTATGACAGTCCTCAGAAAGAGTGACTGCCAGAAGTTCCCGTTAGGGATTCCTCTCTTAAAAGCTTAGAACTGCAGAGCCAGAAGGGACCTTATAGATCATCAAGTCCAGCCCCTGCCAAGGAGGCCCAGTGGGGAATCAAACTCCCAACCTCTGCAGCCAGATGCCTAAACCACTGAGCTATTCAGCAGGTGATGTCCTAGCATTATTGTCTTTTCCACTGAGCCTGATCGTCTTGCGCAATGTCCAAAGTGTGATAAACTCAATTTAGTTATTTCAGCCTCTATTTAAGAGTTCAGCCTTGAATTGTGCCAGAACCCACTTGTTTCCTGCCAGTTTTCTCGTTGGCCACCTCCCATACCTTGCTCAGTTCTGGAGCCAAGGTACCCCCTACCAAATGTCTCAGTCGTGTTGATGATCGGCGCTGTTCTCTTCCTTTTGCTCTTTCTCCTTTGCAGCTGGTGAAGAGCTAGCCGTGGTGATCCCAGAGCAGGTGCCCCTTGATAGAATCCATTTCGTGACAACGGGAGAGGACACGCTGGAAGAGGGCCAAGGGTGGCGGTTTTTGCCCTCGAAACCTGAAGAGGAAGCTGAGGCCATGATCATCCACCTTCCGGAAGGCATTAGTGCCGATCTGGGCACCAACCTCTACTTGAATCTTCACCGAAATGTGCAGTTTTTGGCCCCGGGTTTCTTGGTGGAGGAGATCGGGGAGGGCCAAAGCAGCCATCGAGTGGACGTGGATCGGCATTGCTTCTACACAGGCCACGTGGTGAACCACAGCTCGGACTCGTTCGCTTCTCTGAGTGTCTGCAGCGGGCTGGTATTTGTCCATCAGCATTTGCCTTCGTTGGGCTCTCTCTAGTTGGGTTGCAGGGGAGTGTGTGGCATATATTTGGGCCTGATGGAGATGCACGGTCTCGGGAAGATTTTTAATGGGTCACAGATTTTTAATGGGTCACAGATATATGGAATCTGTGTGATGCATGGATGAGAAAACGTAAGAAAGGAGATCCTCCTCCTGTCTGGAATGATGTAATAGGGAAAAATTGCTTAACGATGATAGGTTCCCTGCAATGTTCTAAGAGGGAAAAATTGCTTAATGATGATAGGTACCCTGCTTCGGGAACCGATTTTTCGCTAGACAATGATTTTAAAACAGCTGATCAGCGCCTCTAAAAGGGCCGCCCGCTGTGCAGAATGGCTCCCCACTGTGATTTAGGACTGATTCCTCGCTTTACAGGCACCAAAAATGGCCACCCTATGGAGGATCTTTGCTGGACACTGAAGTATTTAGCCCATTGGAATGCATGGAACCGGTTTTCAATGCATTTCAGTGGGCTTTTTCGTTTCGCTTGACGAGGATTTCGCTCTACAGCGATTTCAATGGAACGAATTATTCTCATCAAGCGAGGCATCACTGTAATGCAAACTGGGGTCATTCTACTACTAGTCTAAGTTCGTGTTATAACTAAATATTGTAGGTCAAGCGAGGCATCACTGTAATGCAAACGGGTCATTCTACTACTAGCCTAAGTTCGTGTTATAACTAAATATTGTAGTGTGGCGCGTTTCTTTCTAGGAAGTTGACCAGCCGGGCAGCCATGCCCTTTCCTTAGATTCTCTCTTCCATTTGCTCTCTAGCAGACATCCAGACCTGCACAACCACTAGGGATACTCAGCCTTTGGTGGGGTAATCCTTCATCCCTTTTATAAGACTCCCCTTAAGTTTGTACATTTTTCATTACTTCTACAAACACAGGTTTGCTGATTCTCTTTGTGTAGGGACAGTGCCGTTTTGGCTACCTGAAAATAGCGCTCTCCAAGTTAACGGATTCACTATGGTAGCATAATTCTCTTCGTTTTCCCTGGGGAATCATGGAAATAACATTTCATGGAGTGTGTGGAGAGGTCTAAACTGCAGGACTCTCTTAGCAACCCCCTCAAATCCTTCCTGCACTCAGGACCTCAAAGTTTTATACCAATCTGTAGCGTGGATCTCTTAAGAAATAGGGTCTTCTAGAGGACGGATAAGGAGTGAATCGTTTTCAGACTTGGCACATGATTGATTTTGTCCGCCACAGAAACCTGTGCATGTTGGAGAAGATTCTAGGGAATATTCTTTAAGGAAGCCCACGTCTGTTGGACTTCACTGTCCTTCCTTACTGGTGGCACACGCACCCTTGAATATCCCTGAATATTTCTTTCTATGGCTGGACTCATATATTTATTTTGCTTTATTTTAAATATTTCTACGCTGCCTTCCTTCTTAAAAAGGGTCTTAGACAGCTGACGTTATTAAAAGACAATATTTAAAGTTGAAAACATCAAGTATATAGAAATATTTAAAAGAAACAAACAGTGCCAAACAAATCTTGCAAACAGCTGATTTGGCCATGAGAAATCTCATTCCTTAGCCATTCTCTTCCTGGTGTGTCTCTTGAAAGTTGCTGTGGTAGAGGACAGCACTTTCCACAGAGGTCTGAAAGTTCTCCGTTGCTCTGGCTTCCTTTACACACTTAGTTACCTTCCTAGTCCATAGTGAGGAACCAAGTACGGATTAGTATTCCTGCTGTTTCTCGGTCATGTCACCCTGCAGATCTCAACTCTTTTTCATTTTCCCTTGTGTTGTGACCTGGTTGTGTCTAAAATGACAACTTGTAGCCTTCCCCACCACCACCGCCTGTCCCGGCTTCACTCCTGCTTCCCTTTCGTAGACTCCTTCCTTTGCCCCTCAGGGTGGGAGCTGAGGCTGGGAAGCCGTGGTGCAGACAGTCATCTCACAGAACGTGTGTGTGTGTGTGTGTATTCTCTGCCTCAGGTGAGCACCTGCATCCAGGTAATGGAATCTCAGACACCCTTTGTGATTGATGTTAGAAGCCAAGCTGAAGACCACCAAAGGTTTCTCTGAGCTTCCAGACGATAGGACTGCTTCCCCTTCTGGAAAAAAATGCTGACTGCGTTCCTCTTCACCTCGCCCTTCCTGCAAAGCGTGCTCTGGCAATCTCATTCATGATTTGCTCAGCTCTTAAAACGACCTTGACTTTGCTTCTGAGCAATGGAAGGTGTATGAAGACAGAGAAAGATTTCAGTATCCAAAAATGAAGGCAAGGAAAATGAGAGCTCATCTCTCATGCTACCGATCTTGAGACTTAAGGGCGATGGAGCAGGGGAAATGGCAACATTTTGCTAACGCTAATCACAGTTAGATGAGCTAAGCTTGTTTGTATCCTTCTGGTATTTTTTTTAATTAAGATTTTTGTCCTTCCATTTTTTAGTGAGTTTAAGCAAGCACCTAGATGGTGCTTCTCCTCCTCCGATTATCCTCACAAGAACCATGTTAGGTAGGTGAGGCTGAGATAATGTGACTGCCCCATGGCCACCCAATGAGTTTTAGCATCAAAATCTGGTCTAGAAGTTGGCTTTCTGAAATCCCCGTCTGACACTCCAGTAACCTATTTAGACTTCCCCCACACCTAGAAAGTTGGGGAGAGAATGGGCATATTCTCATCTCTGTAAGAATACTGGTGTTTGTGGCATGTTTTGATCCTGTTGTGTAGTACCTGCATGGCGAGGAGGGTTTGCTTGGGAGTCTTCTGTCAGAGCCACTGCCATTTTGACGGGAATCCCCTCTGCGAGAGAACCAAATGGAGGCCGGTTTGCGAACAGCTGTTCCATTCCCGACATCTGCGTGCCATACATCCATTAAGTAGTATGAACTATATAGTAAACAAACCACAACAGATAGGAAGACAGAACCATCTTGTATCGTTGGTCCCCTTCCAACCTTACAAACAGCGTTGCTGCTGGTAGAGATCAGATTATGGAGGAAGCGACATCTCCTGTAAAAATCACTACCAACTTTATGGGCTAGAGGAGACCAGAACATGTTCTTCAGCCCAGATGCTGTAGCGGGTGAGATTAAACCAGGGGGTGGTAACTACAGTTCCCTTGATAATACGGACAGTAGGGGAGTCAAAAGGACTTAGAAGTGCTTCTGGATGAGTGGCTTTCCAGAAGCCACATCACAACTGTGTGTAGCTATTATTCTCGTCCCTCTCCAACCTGCTGTTTATCTGTGGGAGTAAACACACATCTGTTGTGACTTTTTTTACCTGCTGTTAAGGCCCTCTTTTCAGCAATGTTTCTTTGGGTGGTCATTTCAAAAGTGGCATTCTGAGGTCATCAGAAGACAGTGAAGCAGGCGTTAGGTGTCAATAGCTACTCACAGCATTGAATGTGACTGAATATTGTCCCTTTATAACGTTTGCAGTGGGGAAAACTGTTTCTCTCTCCCTGTCTTGCGACTTCTGATCTGAAAGTTGAAATGGAAGAAATAGCCAAATGTTGGCTTGTCCTGTAAGAGGCACCATGTATAAATCAGCTTAATGATTCAGTGGCGCCACCTACTGACCATTGCCAAGAACAGCCATCTCATGTACTGCAGTGCATTTCAGGGCTGTTAAGTTCATTCCAATTCACAGGGAAGGAACCCACAAAACAGCCCATTGTGTACAGCAGGTCTGAACAATGAATGACCCAGGGTGCATTAGCCACCTCCTGCCAGTATTAGAGAAAGATTCAGCGGCCAAGCCAGTCAAACTTTATGCACGGAACGGAACTCCCTCTTTTTGTTGCTTCGGGCATCAAACTCTTTCGAACCTTCCCAGAGCTCCTCTTAAATGTATTTTTATGCCCAGTGCCTGTTTGGCTTTTTAAATGATGCAGTGATGAAACTTGGCCAGCCCCAACCTGTTAAGAAGTTTTTGGTCCTTCAGGAAGAAAATTAAGTAACTGGTGCTTTTTCAGTTCCAGCATCAATAATGACTTTTTCATACCGGATTTACAGACCTTCTGCTAAATCATTGAAACCAAAAGTAAATCAGAAGGGATGATGGAAGGATCAAGAGGTGACTTGCCACCAGGAAAGTCAAAGTAAGGTCTGAAGTATCTACTAAAAAAAAAAGAAAAATCACCCAAAGAGTTTCTGCTCTGTAGAATTGGCCGGCGAAAGATCTCATTAATGAGGGAAACATGGGGGGAAGTTCTCCTGTTGCCAAGCTGTATTAGGCACTGTTGAGTTCATTCTATTTTAATTATTGGTTCTCGCAAATGTTCTTGGACTACAGCTCCCAGAAACTGTGGCCAGCACAGCTAGTGGTGAAGGCTTCTGGGAGTTTTAGTCCAAGAACACCTGGGGACCCATGGTTTGGAACCACTGGCTTAGAGCAGTGGTCCCCAACCTTGGGCCTCCAGATGTTATTGGACTACAACTCCCAGAAGCCTACACCACCACCTCTTGTGGCCAGGATTTCTGGGAGTTGAAGTCCAAGAACACCTGGAGTCCCAAGGTTGGGGACCACTGGCTTAGAGGATCTGCTGAACACTCCAGGAAGTTATGGACATCTTGCATCCCAGCCATACTTCCTTGAGTGTGTTCAAGTCATGGGAAGTAGAGTACCATGGGACCACAGTACTTGTCAGAGCAAGGTCATCTGCCCGTTCCACCAAATCCACTGGGTGGACAATCAGAAGAAGGAAACCAGGCCTTCTTGATGGTGGCACCAACATTTTGGAGCTCTGCCTGGCTTCCTCCTTCCTAATGTTTAGAAGGCTTCTGAAGACATTGCTGAATAGAGGAGACCTCCAATGCACCGTGACCTGCTTTTTATGCCTCTTGCACTGCCTTTTATTTCAAATTTATGCATCTTGTTGCGTTCGGTCTTATTTGTTAATTAGTTTTATTTTAATCGTCTTGTTTGTCTTGTTTTATTATTTTGCTGCAATCGGTTTTCTCCCACTCCTCTGCAATTATAATAACATTTGGCTGTAACAATTCAACCAACATATTATAAAGAAGTAATTTAGAATGATCAGAGTTCTTTTTTTAAATCTGTTGTGACAAAGTAGATTTCCCAAATGCCTGCTTTCCCTAGAGCTTGCCATTTGTGTAGTTTTGTAGCGGTCCAATAAAAATTACCACCCACACTTACATTTGTGTTATCAAGAGCAGAAACAGAGGAGATAGTGGCTTCACCGTTAAATGATAAAATATTATCCCTACAGAGATGGCATTCCTTCAAAGCTGCTGTATCTGTGCAAGTCAACTCGTAAATGAAACCCATTAGCTCCCAATTGGATGCCTTGTGCTAGAATGAACAAATGTCCTTTATCTCTTACAGAAACATCGCTTCTAATTGCGAAGCTAGCATCTTGTATAGCTTGCACCCGCCTCCCACCCCAGGGCTCAGCAGCTAACAAAATGGAAATTTGGTGTGGATCAGACATTACTGTAGGCTCCGTTCCTGGAGCACAAAAGCCCCCTAGAATATAAATCGGAGAGACCAACCAGATTTATAGTATCCCAGGCAATAAAATTTAGAAATCCTCATCATTTCCTGCCTTGGCTCAATTCTCCTGAAAATATTAATTAAATACAAATGAGAGAGTTTTTTCTTATTTTAGCTTGCAATCTTCTTATGAAACTATGTGGCTGAATTATGTCAATGAGACTGGCCCGGGAGTAAGTGCAGACAAAGACTGGCGTGTTATGTGTGGGGGGCCTGTGTAATTTATAACACATATGTAATGTAGATTGTAAATCACATTAATGCAGTCAGTCGTTCCATGTTCCAGCATTTGTATGTACGTGTGGAGGACTCATTTGGAAGTCTGCCTGGCTGGTATAGAACTTCTTTTTAAAAAAAAAAGAAAAGAAAAATACCCTCTTGAAATGTCTTCCCTTCTTCTCCATCTGTATGCACTTGATAGCTTTGCATACAGTGGTGCAATTTTTTTAATAGATGGACAAACCAGTTCTGGAACTTGTAGGGGTCCCTCATCAAAAGTCTTCTGACCTTTTGTAATGCCATGGCTAGGGTATAGTAGGACTTCACCTAGCAGAATCATAAGCCTAGTAGACGTGTTTATACATATTTTATTTAATTGATAGGATGTTGTTTTTCCGCTTATGCGATTGTTGAACAGCCTTGGTATATGCAATCCAAACGATGTTTTCTTTTTGTTGCGGTGGACAGGTGGGGTATATCCAGATCGGATCAGAACAGATACAGATCCATCCGGTGAACGGTTCCGAGATCTCGTTTGACAGGAAGGAGCACTTCATCAGGCGCACTCGATTCACCAGATCGGCCCTCCCTGCTGTGTTGAAGGTCCCTGTGGAGCCCTGCAAAGTGGTAGCAGGTGTGTGTACATGTGTGTGTGTGTGCATGCGCGCATGTGAACCGATGGCCTCCTTGAGCCATAGTTGGACTTGACAGGGGAAAACAAGGCACTCTGTTGACATGAGAAGTCCATGGTTGGACTCTCTTTGTTCATCTTGCGTAGCCCTTTCTCCGGTCAAAGAATGAGCATGCTTGGACGTCCTTCATATCCTGACCCTAAGGAGACTGATGTCAGATGCCTAGGTCTTCACCGCTGGTAGGTTCAAGCCTGCCAAAGGTTGGAGGCGTAGCAGGATCCTGGAGGAAGCAGCAGGCAAGTAAAGAAACAGTCTGGAAGTGTAGCAGCATAGCTACGATGCTTAGATTAAGTGAGCGCAAGACTCAGTTGACCAACCCATTCCGCCAAGCAACATTGGCATGGGATGGGATTTCCAGAATCATCCCGTTTCTAGGACCAGTATGGATTCTGGTCCTTGGTATTCATATCATTTGGAGTTCTGCTGCAGTGATAAATTCTGGGGGCCCAGAACTGAGAACTGCAATGGTGGAGAGTTTCTAGTTCTAGAGGCCAACTTTTTTGACATCTTAGATCCTTCATGGGCTACACCACCCGAAAACCAAAACGGGCTGGATGTCCATTTCCCATTTCTTTAACCTATTTTTGGAGGGTTGGGCTGGATTTTAAAGGAGGATAATGCTTCTGTAGTTGGGGGTTCTCAGCCTGGACAAACTGGGTGGTGTTGGACTGGAAGTGTCTATATGTGTAGGCTGGACGTATATTTTTTTTTCTGATGCTTTTGAGGCACGACTCAGCAGCTCTGATCCTTGGCATCTGTGACAGTGTAGTGGGCGACGGAGGCAACTCCTGTCTGGTCCAGCTCCCGTCACCATTTCTGTGATGGGTGAAGAGCAGCAGTCTCTCTCTCTCTCCCTCCCTCTTTCCCTCTCTCTCCTTCCTTCTCTCTCTCTCTCTCTCTCAAAGAGGAGATAAAAAGTTGCCACCTTATTCTGCATCAGCCTCACGTCTACTGGCCCATCTGTTGTAGGGTGTTGGCTGTCACCCTCTTTCTCTGTTCCACTTTTTTTTGAAGTCCCCATCTCCCTCTCTCTTCTAAGCCAGTTTCTCCGGCAAAATCACTGGGAGTTTTGGCCAGTTCTACCTCTCCCGGGGGACCAGGCAAGCCCGACTCCTTATATGAGGGTGCTGGCTGCATTTTCCCACTGCTGTGCACCCCCTCCCCCAAAAGAGCAGAGTGAACTGCCCCAGGCACTTTATCAAATTGTGGAGAAAGACTTGATCAAAAGGCAGAGAGGGAGATGACAAGCAGAACACGATTCCTTAGCTTTACATTAAGGAAATAAATGAAGGATTATATGATCCTATTGCTAAAATGCAGCACAAGAAATGCCAGATCCATAGCTGAAAGAGACCACATGCTTATAAAGGACAAATATAACTCTCTATTGGAGGGGGAGTCTTTCCTGATGCAAGATTTGTGTCTCATCTGATGGGTTCCTGAATATTTTCTTACCAATCCAGATATCAAGCATGGTCTATCCTTAGACTTTAACCCGTTTTTCTAATAGGTTAAAGAATAAAATACCATCACAGTTGTTTTTTTCTTCCCTTCCCTTTAAGAAAGATGAGAAGCTGCAGTTTCTAACAGGCTTCATATGTTAATGGCCTAATTGGCTCTTGTTTTGGTTGGATTAACTTTTTTTTTTAATGGCCAAGTAGTTTAGAAATAATTGGGTGGAGGGCGGGATAGAACCCTAATTGGCTATGACACACACAGGAGACTATTCCTCATGACACAAAATAAGACCGGGTGATCTTGTAGCTTTTTTTTCCAAGGAGTCTCATGAGAATCAAAGGCCTCATTGGAATGGAACCCGTGTGCGCAAGCTGAAAAAAAAGAAGTTGGGCAAGATTCCATGACAGGCCATAGATTCCAGCATTAAATACAGTGGTGCCTCGCATTATGACATTAATTCATTCCAGTGAAATCGCTGTAGAATGAAAACGTCGTAATGCGAAAAGAAAAAGCCCATTGAAATGCATTAAAGCCCGTTTAATGCGTTCCAAAGGGCTTGAAACTCCCCGTCCAGCGAAGATTCTCCATAGGGCGGCCATTTTCGCTGCCTGTGCAGCGAGGAATCCATCCCAGAAAACAGCAGGGGGCCATTTTGTTTACCCGGCGGCCATTTTCAAACCGCCGATCAGCTGTTGGAAAATCATTGTTTTGCAAAGAATTGGAACCGATCATCGCAAAGCGAAATTCCCCCATAGGAAACATTGTTTTGCGATTGCAAAAACTTCATCGTAATGCAGTTTCATCGTTAAACGGGGCAATCGTAAAGCGAGGCACCACTGTATATATAAACCATAATTTCAGCAGCGACTCCATAAACATACACATGAATTTTGATGCCATATAAAGCATATTCTCATTGTTTCATTCATTTCCCTATATATTTATATTTCATCCAAGCATAAGCAAAGTGATTCAGGGAAATGAATGAAACAATGAGAATATGCTTTTTATATATATTTTAGACTATACAATTTCATCCAAGCATAAGCAAAGTGATTCAGGGAAATGAATGAAACAATGAGAATATGCTTTATATGGCATCAAATTTATATGGCATCAAAAGTTGTTTTTCTGGTTAAAAATTCTGGTAATTCTGCCACACGCACACACACACACATATACATACAAATATTTCTGGAGGAGTTTGCATTTCTTTATTTCAAAATATTTACACGGCAAGGATGAATTGACTTGTTTTTAGTGTTTCTATGGGAACGTTAACTTTTTTTGAAGCCTTTTTAAAAAAGAAAAATAGCTCCAGAGCACAAAGCAAGGCAGATCATCTTCTGAGGAAAGATTATGATTTAATACTTATGACAACAAAGCTCATGAATTACTCTGAAATATGTTGTTTCCTAAAAATGTACTCTGGCTGCACAGCATTCTTCACGTAAGGCCTGGACTCGTATTCCATCAAGGGCTAGGACATTAACTGCAACAAAGCAGTCATTTCTTAACAAGTAGGCTGGCTTTATATTCAATATGCCCTTTTCCATGCAACTGGTTCAATTGAGGTTGTTGGACTGAGAGTTGAGCTTCTGTCTTCCAAGTCCTCACTCAGCCATGAAACTCACTGGGCAGTCTTGGACCAGTCAAACGCACTCTTTGGAGCCTGACCCCATTTTGCAAGGTTGTTGTGGGAATGAAAGGGGGAAGAGAAGGGATGAGCTTATTGAAGAAAAGGCAGGATAGACATGTAGCGATCAAATAGAGACTCATATGCTTATAAGCCAATACAAATGCACTCAATGCAGATGCTTGGGTTACAACTCCTTAAGAGCCTCCACCAAAGTAGATGGGAGTTATGGGATGGTAGCCCATAATGTGTGGTAGGGTATATATCTGTCTGGGAAGCCTATTCTGAACCCAGTCCTTGCGAACCATGAGACCTTTGTGAAGGTGATGGTAATGGATGGGCACCCTTGAAAAATAAATCCTCTTTATTAGTGATATTTCCCAATAGTGCAAATCTATGTGGTTGTGTTACTTGTGTGCTGCTTATTTTGAGCCTTCAGTCCTCAGATGTTTTTGCACTGTTGTCTCCCGGAATTCCTGACCACTGGGCTTTCTAGGAGATGAAGCTGAAGATCTGGGGACCCTAGCTTAGGAACCACTTTGTTCTTGAGAGCTCCGTTGAGTTGGGTAGATTTTTCAACGAACAGAGAAGACATCCTCAAAGACACTTCAGGGTATTTTTTAGCATTCTTATAGGTCAGTGGCTCCCAATCTTGGATAACCCAGGTGTTCTTGGACTGTAGCTCCCAGAAACCTTGGCCATCACAGCTGGTGGTGAGAGCTTTGGGTAACTGCAGTCCAAGAACACTTGGGCTACCCAAGGTTGGGAACCGCTATTATAGGTTCTTCAACAGGCAAATTAACATAGGGGTAGTTTCTTTTAGTAAGGAGAGAAAGAGAACGATGGATAACGAGCCTGTTACAGTTTACATAAACTTATAACACCATGAAACATTTTATAACAATGAAAATTTTAAAAACATCCAAATATTAGGCACTCCTTGACCCTTATGTATGGACCTTTCCATATGAAATAAATTTGAATGTTTTTGTTGTATGTCCAAAAGAACATCCATAGCTTTACGTATTAACGAAATGCCATCCCAGTAAAACAAACAACCAAGTGTATTTGACCCACTTAGTCTTTTTAAGTGTCCTAATAAAATCTTAATAATCCTGACTTCTCATATTCATTCTAGCTGATTTATATCACTTCACTTAACAACTGACACGTCTTCCCCCAGTGAATTTACTACAATTGTGGTAAAGTCCATTTTAACTTAAAATCCAGTTTGTGCGGTTAATTTCAAATGGTACCCCTCACTTTCTAGATCACATCAAGAAGGCTGACAAGTGAGGCGTTTCCACCTTAGAGCTTCTACTATAATTTGGGGAAATGGCCATACTTAAAAGAGCATAGAAACCTGGATAACTTGCTGGTAAATGCCCTATAATGATAACCACATGCAGTCAGATTGACTCCAACTTATTGTGACCCTTTCCACGGTTTTCGAGATGTAAGGTGTCAGAAGCTGTTGGCCCTCCTACATTCAGGGGACTGTACATTTTTGGCCGAGGCTCCCAACCTCCGCCTCATCAGCCCGCTACCAAACACACTGAGCTGTCCAGCCAATTAAACAAGCCATAGATGTACCCATAGGTTCTTTTACAGCACAATTTAGTCAGGGTGGGGGATGGAGTATCCAGGAAGGTGGGATCATGTCCAAAGCCCTGCTGGCCCAACGCAGACAAGCTTGGAGGTGTGTAGGTGGGCTGTGCTTTTGCTATTTATTCCTTCTTTTCTCAGTGCTCCAATTAGATCTAGACTTAGGTCTCCCTCTTCCACTTTTTTAGGCATGTTAGACGTAAGGCAGAGCTTTAAATGTGGCTGATAATATCGGGGTTGACT